CAAGGTTATTCAACCTATGGGTCCTCTGCAATCTGGAATCCCTTTGCCCTCTTTATTACCAAAAGGATGGCCTCTTATAGTTATTGATTTAAAGGATTGTTTTTTCACCATACCTTTACAAAAAGAAGATAGAGAAAAATTTGCCTTCACGGTGCCTACTTACAACAATTCTCAACCTTCCAAGAGGTACCACTGGGCCGTCCTCCCCCAGGGTATGTTAAATAGCCCCTCCTTGTGCCAATATTTTGTGAACCAACCATTGCAAATAATACGCAAGAAATTTCCCAAATCTATAATATACCACTACATGGACGACATCTTGTTATCCGATTCAAACATGGATACCTTGAACAGACTGTTTGAAGAAATAAAGATACTTTTACCTAAATGGGGATTGCAAATTGCTCCTGAGAAGATACAGAAGGGAGATTCTGTTAATTATTTAGGTTATAAAATAGGTTTGCAAAAAATTAAGACACAAAAGGCACAAATTAGGAGAGATCGCCTACAGACTCTTAATGACTTTCAAAGACTGTTAGGAGACATTTCCAGTCTACGACCAGCTGTTGGGATAACACCTGATCTAATAATTCATTTGAACAAAACCTTGGAAGGTGATAAAGACTTAAACAGTCCCAGAGAATTAACAGCTGAAGCAGAAAAGGAACTGACAATAATTGAGGAAAAATTACAACAGGCACATGTGGACAGGGTGAATCCAGAGCTCGATTGTATTCTCGTCATATTACCATCCAAAATTTCTCCTACAGGAATTTTAATGCAGAGAGATGATATTATCTTGGAATGGATCTTTTTACCACATAAACCAAGTAAAAAACTGAAAACTTATGTGGAAAAAGTCTCTGAGTTAATTATAAAAGGCAAGCTGAGACTTCGTCAACTAGCAGGCATAGACCCAGCAGAAATTATAGTGCCTTTCACTGCTGATGAACTAAAGAAATTATGGGAAGATAATGAAACATGGCAAAGAGCTTGTGCTAATTTTTTGGGAGACATTAATAACAACTATCCAAAAAGCAAGAGGCTTAACTTCATAAAGAGAACTTCTTGGATCCTTCCTCGAATCGTCCGTGATGCTCCAATAACTGGAGCCCGTACATTCTATACTGATGCCAATAAAACAGGGAAGGCAGGTTACAAATCGGAAGACTTGGGTAAGGTGGAACAAAGTCCTTATGATTCTGTCCAGAAGGCAGAATTATATGCCATTCTTATGGTGCTAAGGGATTTTAGAGAACCTATTAATATAGTTACTGATTCACAATACGCAGAAAGAGTTATTTTACATATTGAAACTGCTGAATTTATACCTGATGATACAGAACTAACCTCATTGTTTATCCAGGTTCAAGATTTGATCAGGAACAGGCTTTGCCCTATGTACATAACACACATCCGATCCCATACGGGTCTGCCAGGTCCTCTAGCACAAGGTAATGCAGAAATTGATCAATTATTGATTGGTAGTGTGCTACAAGCCTCTGAATTTCATAAAAAACATCATGTTAATAGCAAAGGTTTGAAGAAAGAGTTTTCTATCACATGGCAACAAGCTAAGGAGATTGTAAAGAAATGCCCTACTTGCTCTTTCTATAACCAAACGCCACTGCCTGCAGGGGCTAATCCAAAGGGCACCCAAAGGAATGAAATCTGGCAGATGGATGTGTTTCACTTTGCAGAATTTGGCAAATTGAAGTATGTTCACCACACCATTGACACTTATTCAGGCTTTCAGTGGGCAACTGCTTTAAGTTCAGAAAAAGCTGATTCAGTAATCACTCATTTATTAGAAGTCATGGCTATCATGGGTATACCTACACAAATAAAGACAGATAATGGTCCTGCTTATGCCTCTAGGAAAATGAAACGGTTTTTTGACTATTACAATATCAAGCATGTTACAGGTATACCATACAATCCTACAGGTCAAGCAGTCATAGAAAGATCAAATCGAACTATAAAGGATATGTTGAATAAACAGAAAGGGGTGGAAAACACCCCCAGAAATAGGTTACATAATGCTTTGTTAACCTTGAATTTTCTTAACGCTAATGAGAAGGGGACAACGGCTGCAGAAAGACATTGGATAATGGAAAAGTCTACTGAACTAAATCAACCAGTTTATTTCAAGGATGTGCTGACCTCACAATGGAAGCCAGGAGATGTGCTGCGTTGGGGAAGGGGTTTTGCTCTTATCTCCACAGGTGAGGAACAATTGTGGATACCGTCAAAATTAATAAAGGTTCGGTATGAAGAAGAAAAGCCATTTGGAAAAGATAAATAACAATTCATTCACAAGGATGGCGAGCATACTGATGGTAAGGAATTCAGGTAGGTTGGGGGCAGGGTTTTTTTTTTTTTTTATCTCCACAGGAAAATACTGATCTTCAAAGAATTTAAGGGACCCTGAATATTTAATAACTGATGGATGGAAAATAGTTACGACCCACTAAGACTCAACAGTAACATGAGTAAGTATTGATTATATATATATTTTCTTTTTTCTCTTTGAACGCTTCTTTATAAATATGTAGAGCTGGTTTTGGAGTTGGACTATGGCTCAGTCCCTCTTCAATTCCAAGCCTGTTGATAAGAGATATCTCAGAGTTTCTGTCTCAGATCAGGAGCCATGAAATGGGACAGAATGAGGATAATTATATACTTGATAAACTTTCTTTGCTTTTCCTCATATCTGTGTCTTTCTTTATATGTCAGAATATGTCCTTGTTGTTAATGTTTAAATTTCCCATAACAAGCAACAAATTTCCCTACAGTAATTTTTGAAGTTTCCAGGATGAAGATGGGGCCCCACAACATCAACTCAACCTGGTTTTTATGACGTCATGAATATTTTTTTTCTTTTTCTCTTTTTTACGCGCTAATATGAGACCTGTTTTTTGGTACCAACTGCACAAGACAATTTCGAATGGTGCACATTTTTGACAACACTCTGGCCGGACCTTCTCAAAGTGCTCAGGGACTAGTTATAATTTTCTTAGGTCAAAGGTTAATTTGGGAATTTTACCATCATTTGCTTTCACAGGAGCCCCTAAGGAGAACATCGCCCCCATGTCAGCTTGAAGCAATCTTAGAGGACGACGTCCCCTCTCCCAACAGAGTTTGCCCTCAGGGTTAGGGACATCTTTTAGTGGTTGGTTTGGGGTTGAGGGGATGGGGAGATGTTTTATGGAATTAGGGGTATGTTCGAAAAAAAAAAAAGGGGGGGGGATTAACTGGTTTGATGGGATGATTGGTATTTGTGAGTTACTGTTTTTAGAAAATTGTATTGGTACTGTTTTCTGTATATTGACATATTGAATATTGAATGTGAGTGTTCCTACCTCTATTTTTGTATAAGAATATGCTTATATTGTATTGATACATCTACCATATCACAATGTACATTTCTACCTCTGATACTATTTATGTAATAACATTGTTTACATTTGATATGTAATGACATTGTTTACAGATGAAGATCATTGTCTTCATATATTGCACAGTTGTTTATTGTTTTAGTCTTTAAGTTAGATAGATATTGAGAATTATATAGATTAATAGTCATCTAAGTTTGTCATTTGTAATTAGACTAATCAGGTTCTTTAGATATATAGAGATTATACTCAGTATAGATAGATAATCTTCAACCTCTTTGGAGAGCTGTAGAATATGGCCTTTAATATAACTCAGAGTTTCGTGATAGTGAGACACAATTGCTCCTGGCAACACCGCTCTATTCCCGAGAGAACGTTGAGCACCAAAGACACTCCACTGGGAGCTTGTCTTCTTGGCAGAACTGGCCTTTGGGTTAAGAAAAGCCCATACCTCAACCACTGACAAAGATACAGAGCGTGCATCAATGGATACAACAGGACTGTCATATCCTGCCAAGACAGGGTAAGATAGTTTTGAAAAGTTCCTTGCCTTTAATAATGGTATGTCAGTTATGTTAGGCCTTAGCCAAAGTTGGTTGACTCAACATTGCAAACGAGACTTTGGGTGATTGCTCAGGTAGTCAGTTGTCTTTGTCAATTGTTACACATTTGGATCGTTTGTTAAGTAATATTTATTGCCTTCTCGGATCTTTGATGGAGTTGAAGATTATATAATTGTAGTTACTCTCTACATTATTTAGACTCCTTGAGATAGAATGTTTAGCAAAACTTTTGATTCTCAATATTGTTTGTTATATTTATTTGTTATTATTGTATATAGTTGTATTTGGTTTAGTTCTGTCTTATTTAGACAAAAGGGGGAGATGTAGGGATAAGTCCCACCCCTTAGGGGGCGTGTTCGCCTCAGGCTAAAGTTTTCCTATAAATTTGGCGAGAGCGTGCTCCCAGCGCTCGCTTCTGCTTTCCTGGTCTCCGCGGGAACGGTGGTTCTGTAAGTCTATTCCTCCATTAAAGCTGTCTATATTTTGACAATCTGTCTGCATTCGCTTACGCCGTTACACACATATAAAATGAAAGCAAAAAAATAAGGGCTAGCAAGATGACTCACTCACAAGGCAAAGACATTTATCACCAAGCCTGATGACCTGAGTTCAATTCCAGAAGCACAAATGTTAGAAAAATCAGAAATGACTCTGAAAATAGCTAAGTAAATGCACAAACACACACATAATAACATTATTTAAACATATATTTAACATTAAGGCTATATTGAGAAACCCTGTCTCATAAACGAATGAATGAATAGATAATTAGCATTAACAAAATGCCATTATAAATAAGAAGCTTTTGTTTGCTTGTCTGTTTTATTTTTTGATATAGTGTTTCTTTCTGTGACAGCCCTGGCTGTCCCAGAACTTGCTTTGTAGACCAGGCTGGCCTCAAATTCATAGAAATCTGCTTGTCTCTGCCAACTGAGTGCTGGAATTAAAAGAATGTGTCACCACACCCAGAGAAACATTTTTAAAAAGAAAAACTTTTTTTTTCTCTTTTACTATAGAGTCAGCACTAAAAATATTTACTAACCTGTTTCTTGCTCTTGCCATACTTTTTGATTTCCTTCTTTCAAAGCGTTCTTCATCAGAAGAGGTTGTATCACTACTATGAATGGCATGCTTCTTCCTCCTATTGGAAAAGGAAAAGTATTAAAACCTTAGAACTTCTGTGTCGTTTGTTGTGTGTGTGTGCTTGCTTGCTTTGGTGGTAGTGTTCTTAAACCAAAGGCCTTATAAATAAAGAGTACCTGCTCCACCACTGAGCTAAGACCTAGCCTACTGGTAGTATTACAAAACACAATACTATCATATCTGTAATTAACACAGGAGAAAATCCATTTATTCATTCAGCAAATGTTTATTTAGATCACTGTCTTCATGCAGTTCACATCTCACAAGGAATGAAGGCCAAGCTCCACAGAAAAGAATAAAAACTACAGAACAGAACACCTGTAATTTTTCAAATATGGAAGCTTAAAAAATAGTCAAGCAACAAACTTACATTCAAATATCTGTATTGTTATAAGTATCAAAATCAGAGAACAAGACATTTATCTTCTTAATCTTCCTTTCCCAAATTATCAGAAATAATTCAATCATTTTAAAAAGTATACTTGTTTACAGAAAAATAAAGGCTCTCACTTTCTACAAAGACTCTTCTACCTTGTTTGCAGTCTTACCAAATACATAAAATACTTTTAATGAAAAAGAAAAATACTTAGCCAGGCATGATGGTATACATCTCTAGTCCTAGATATTTGGGGAAAGCATGAAGTAAGAGATTCTCTTGAACCAAGAGACCAGCCTGGACAACATAATAAGATCCTATCTCAAAATAAGTAAACAGGATTGGAGATGTGGCTCAGCAGAGGCTGGCGGTTCTCTGTGGAGTTCAAGGCCAGCCTGGTCTAGAAAAGCTAGTTCCAGGACAGGAACCAAAAGCTACGGAGAAACCCTATCTCGAAAATCAAAAAAAAAAAAAAAAACCCTCAAAACATTAAACACAAAAAGACTATGTAATAATTCAATTAATAAATAGGCATTATGGAAGAAGCAAGATGGTTGCCACAAACTCATAGCTGGAGAAATTATAGAAAGGAACTGTTTCAGGCTGGAGAGATGGCTCAGCAGTTAAGAGCACTGTCTGCTCTTCAACAGGACCTGGGTTCAATTCCTAGTACTCATGTGGCAGCTCACAACTGTATATAACTCCGTTCCAGGGGGCCCAACACCATGGCAAAATACTGATGCACATTAAAAAAGAAATATGTTGTAATAAAAACCCACCACTTAAGAAAAGAAAAAAGAATTGTTTCTAAACTTTAATAAATAAAAGTAAAATGATACATTTCTAAATTTCTAAACTCTGTACCTACTAGTTTTGTTTTTAAGAATAAAAAGGGAGAAGCATTAAAGACCTACTACCCAAGTATGGCTGGCACAAGTATCTGTATTCCGAACTTGTAGGGAGCTGAGGCAAGAGAATCACTTGAGCTAAAAGCTTCAGGCAAGTCTGGGAAACAAAGCAAAACTAGTTTTCTCAATGGAAAAAAAAAAAACTAGTCACCGTCTCAAAGAAAGACATCATGGACCATTCTACATTCAATTCATGAGATCAAAAACTTTGTTACTATAGAACATGAAAGTTAAAATTAATTAAAAATTAAATTTAAAAATATGCCGGGCAGTGGTGGTACACACCATTAATTCCAGTATTCGGGAGACAAGAGACAGGCGGGTCTCTGTGAGTTTGAGGCCATCCTGGTCTACAAAACGAGTTCCAGAACAAGCTCCAAAGCTACAGAGAAAGCCTGTCAAGGAAAAAATAATTTACAAATAAACTGTGAACCAAAAACAAGTCATGTGTAGGATGAAAGGAAGGACAGAAGACAGTCAAGAAGGAAGGGAAGAAGGAAAGGATACAATTAAGTCTTTCCTTTGTTCATCAACACATGCAAACATTCTCTTTTTTCAAATCAAACACAACTTACCTGATATGGCTTCTTCTTGCTGGGGACCTATGAATATCAAACAGTGTGTTTTCCCTCTTTTTTTGATGAGCTGGTACTAAAAGAAGAAAACGGGTAGAAATAACTAATAGTACTACTAAGCCCATGCACTAAAGGAGCATAAAAAGACTGTCAACTTTCTATGAGAACCCAGCCATGTATCTTCAACTTCCACGCTCTTGTCTGGAAGCATAACAAAGACACACACTTTGTGTTACACACTCTAAGTAGATGTTAATATTTCTAACAGTGTAATCCATCTTAAAAATTTTGTAGTAGGGCTGGAGAGATGGCTCAGTGGTTGGGAACATTGCCTGCTCTTCCAAAGGTCTTGAGTTCAGTTCCCGGCAGCCACATGGTGGCTCACAACCATCTGTGGTGGGGTCTGGTGCCCTCTTCTGGCCTGCAGGCGTACACACAGACAGAATATTGTATACATAATAAATAAATAAATATTTAAAAAAAATTTGTAGTAGCCGGGCGGTGGTGGTGCACGCCTTTAATCCCAGCACTCGGGAGGCAGAGGCCAGCCTGGTCTACAAGAGCTAGTTCCAGGACAGGCTCCAAAATCACAGAGAAACCCTGTCTCGAAAAAAAACAAGTTTGTAGTAGGGAACAAAGCAAAGTAATACTATCCATAGTAATAATCCCCCACAAAAGCATAAACATAAACAAATCTTCATGCATACAAATACCAGGCATGGTGGCATACACTTTTAATCCTGGCACTCAGGAGGCAGAGGCAAGCAGATGTCTATCAATTGAGGCCAGCCTGGTCTACAACACAAGTTTGAGGAGAGCCAGAGCTGTTACACAGAAAAACCCTGTCTTGAAAAGCAAAACAAAAACAAAAACAAAAAAAATTCACAAAAACTCAGAAACCAGGCTGTGAATCACAGTACTTGGTTACAGAATAATATTAAAATAAGCATTAGAAAAGGGTAGGAAGAAAAGGTTTGCACTGCCTGCCTCACACCACGCCCATCTCCTAACAGCAGACCATAAACAGGGATACAGTCCTCTTGGACGAAAGAAATAAAAGGAAACACAGGACCTATATCGCAGGACCAGGTTAGCCACAGTAAAACTCTTTATCTGACAGAATCCCTACAGACCAACTCCGCTGGCTAGTATGTGTGGACTTACCCTAGAAACCTGCCCAAGCACTACAAGAGGGACTCAAGGCCTGATTTACATCACTACAATCAACTACAAGAGCCTGACACTTCATAAATCATGGTAATGGAAATACCTCAGCCATGGATTTTAAGCATGAACCTTAGTAGCCATGGAGAGGGAGAGACACAGAGAGAAAGCACTGCATGTGTGCAGATGTACTCTGCCATGAATGCCACTGAGCACTGCAGGTCATTCTCTTGCACTCTCTATCCTACATTTTGATACACAATTTCTCACTGAACTTAGAGCTCTCTAGTCCTGCTAGACTAGTTGGGTAGTGGACCTCAGTTGATTGCCACCAAGCCTATGCCTCTAAAACCACATACCCGCAAATAAAACTCTTCATTAGTATTTTATCACAGCAACACAAAACTAATACAGAAGCTGGTTCGAGGAAAAAATGCGGTTGTTGCTATGAGAACCTGACCATGTTGGTTTTGAAAAGTTGTAGAAGGTTGTGTGACTCAGAGCTAGAAAAACCACTAAATGCTGTAACCAGAGCTTAGAGGGCCATTCTAGTTAAAGCCTGGATGACAGTGATGTTGTCCATATGCTGACAGCAATGCAAACTGTAGAGGCCTGGCTCAAGAGGTTTCAGAGAAGGTCTTCTTAACAACTGGGCTAGAAGTCATTCATGTGACATTTTGTAAAGAATCTGGCTGCCTGCTGCTAATGTCCTAAGAACTTGTTTGGCATTAAATTTAAAAGTAATAAACTCATTTCTGTGGTAGAGAAAAGTTAAGGACAATATAGGATTGACTCAGTGTCATGGTAACTGATAGCTTATAATGCAGATCTGCAATTTAAAAAAAAAAAAAGAAAGTAGGATAGGAAGAAATACTAAATGTATAGTTTGGAAGGAAAGGAGCACCAGAAAGTTTAATATTACATCCAAGTCGTATACTGAAAGATTACAATTGTTAAAGAACCTGGCATCTTTAAGGAGAGGACCACTCTGCACTGGAACAATGGAAAGGTACCTTGAGAGCAGGACCCTCCCCATCTGTGATATCTGAGTGAGATGTCTACTTGGTCCCCAGTTGATCAATGTTTAGGAGTGATTAAGTGATATGCTCTCTCTATATGCTTGTGATTCAAAAGGTAGATGCTCAACTGCTGCTCCAGTCTCCTGCTACGACTCAATCACTCTAACCCTCTGGTCCAGTAAACCCAATTAAACACTTGGATAAATTGCTTTGGTCTCAGTGCTTTATCATAGCAATAGAAAAATAGCCAAAAAAGCAACCAAGTTTCTGATTTGTGATAGGAAAAAGGCTAAGGGGTTGTTCCCTCCTAGAAAACAACCAATTCTAGAATAGGAAAGCTGCTACTAATGTGGTTGAAGGGGATAAGATTCTAGCCTAAGATGGAAGCCAAATTTGGCAGTATCACCTACATGGTACTAGTTCTGGAGGCATTAAAAATGCAAGAGTGACCTTCTCACTCCCTGGCCATCTTGGTGGTTGATCTTGGTTGGGGGCTGTCCTGCACCTAAGGCAGGAAGATGGTAGTCACAAAGATGAAAAAGTCTCTAGAGTCAATCTACTCTAGGCTCCAATTTGTTATGAAAAGTGGAAAGTATGTGCTAAGATACAAACAAACTCTAAAGATGATCAGACAGGGCAAAGTGAAATTGGTTATCCTTACCAACTGCCCTGGTTTGAGGAACTCTGAAATAGAATACTACACTGTGTTGGCTAAAACTAGTGTCCATCATTACAATGGCAATAATATTCAATTGGTGACAACATGCAGAAAATACTACAGAATAAGCACACTGGCTACGGTTGACCCAGGTGATTCTGATACTATTAGAAGCATGCAAGAACAGACTGGTGAAAAGTAAACCAGGAAAATTTTCCTGTGATAAAACTTTATCAGCGCTCTTTCAAAAAAAAAAAAATGCAAGAGTAAACGTGTTGTAGATTCTTCCTCTGCAGCTCCAGACAGCCACTGAGACCACGCATCATGTGGTAATGCTAAGTCACTGTCCCTACAAGGTCCTGAGAATCTATTATGTAAAGCTGTGAAAGTGAAACCTGGGTTGCAGTGGAAACTCTAAGACGTTGGAGATGCTACAGTCATGAGACGTCTGCCTCATGAGAATTGTATACAGGAGTAGAACTCAGCCAAGAGAAAGATGTATGTGGTAGACAGTAAAAGTGGAAGGGGAGAGCCATCCAAATCCTTTAAAACTAAAGTCTCAGATAAAAGACATGGAGCTACAGGATTTAGTATTTACCCTACTGGGTCTCTATCTTGCTTTGGTCCAGAAATCACTCATGATGTCCCCATTTCTCTCTTTTGGGATGGGAAGGTATATTCCATGCCATTACACATTGGAAGTATGAGCCAGGCAGTGGTGGTGCACACTTTTAATCCCAGCACTCGGGAGACAGAGACAGTCAGATATCTGTGAGTTCAACGCCAGTCTGGTCTACAGAATGAGTTCCAGGACAGGTTCTATAGGTAAAGAGAAACCCTGTCTCAAAAAGCAAAAAACAAACAAATCTATTGGAAGTATGTAATTTATTTTGTATTTTACATGGAATCTCAACAATGAGTCTTAAAGTTAGACTCATTTCATGGATCTATGGGAACAGGGCATGGAACAAGAATGGCTGCCATAGGCTCAGATAATAGAATACCAGTTGGTAAGGCTGTCTGGAGAGGCTATGGAGCCTTGATGGAGGATATATGTCACTAGGAGTGGGCTTTGAGAGTCTATAGCTTTACCTCACTCGCAGCTCACTTTCAGCTTTCACCATATGATTTACGATGTGATCTTTAATCCCAGCACCAAGGAGGCAGAGGTAGGAAAATCTCTGTGAGTTCAAGGCCAGTTAAAAGATATACAGAGAAACCTTGTCTTGAAACCCTCCCCACCCCAAAAAAAGATGTGCTCTCTCAGCTTCCAGCTGTCTGCCATCATGCCTCCCCCCCCACCATTATGGATTCTTCCTCTGGAAGCCCAATTAAATTCTTTCTTCCCTAACAACAGCAGAAAAGTAACTAGTGCGGTGATTGATGAAGACACTGATGTTGATAGTTACACACACATGTACATACACCTAATGCACATGCATACACATAAAGATTTGCCACTGTTAAGTAAACATGAGAAAAAAATGCTCAACTTCATTAGAGAGACACAAACTAAAACTGTACTACACACGCTATTACAACTGGGTCTTGCCTATGATTCAGGCATTTGGGAGACAGAAGAGTTCAAATTCAAGGTCAGCCTTGCAACTTAGTGAGACCTTGCTTAGTAAGACCTTAGGGAGTAGGGGCAAAAAAAAAAAAAAAGGAATGGGGTATAGGATCTATCTCAGTGCTAGAATGCTTTGGGGGAATACACAAAGCCCTCTGTACCACCAAAACACACAAAGAGCTACATTAATTAGACTAGTCATAACCAGCATTGGCAAGTATCAAATTTTTTGTTGCTGTTACTGTTTTTCAAGGCAGAGTGTCTCTGTGTAACAGCCCTGCCAGTCCTGGAACTAGCTCTGTAGACCAGGCTGGCCACAAATCCATAGTTATCACACTGCCTCTGCCTCCTAATACTAGAATTAAAGGTATGTGTCACCAAAAGTTATGCTAGAAAAACAAACTCTTTATCTTTAATAAGGAGTAAGACAGAATATCTCTATGTAGCCCTGGTTGGAAACATAAAATCTGAATGAAAATGTCACAACCACTTTGGAAGATGAGCAATTTCTTACAAAATTAAATATACTAATTTATTAATTGCTAATTCACTAATCATAAATCTACCCACCACACTTTGTAGTACTTGTCTGTTTATCCTTGTTTTTTCTTTGTTTGTTTGTTTTTATCTCAGGCTTTTATGAATCCCTACTGGTCTCAAAATCTAAACCTTTCTTCTGCCCCAGACTTGAGTACTAATATTAAAGATGCTCTACCACCCCTTCATTTATAACAATCAATAACCATAAGCAAGAATTAATCCCTAAAAAATGAATAATAAATTATGACAGTTGAGATGACTCATACCTATAACAAATATTACGATAATTACGCTGAGTGAAATAAAGGTAAAAATGTAGTATTTCAGTATTTCAAAGCTGGGTATGGTGGCTTGTACCTATAATTCTACCACTTGGGAGATTGGGGAAAGATGATCACTACAAGTCTGAGGTCACCCTAAGCTATACAGCAAATTCCAGACAAACCTAGGACGAGATCAAGACTATTTCAAAAAATTAAAATGAAAATAAACAAACTTAAATTTTCATTTATATAAAATCAAAAACATATAAAGTTGAATTAAGATGACAGAAAACAGACTAGTAAGTACTCAAAGACTAATACAAGGAAGACACAAATGACTGAGAGCAGAATACACACAAGAATGGGGATATCCAGGAGACTGGGCATTGATGAGTATGCTTGTTTTGATTATGGTGATAGTATCACAGGCATGTACATATTACAGAACTTGCCAAATTGTAGAATACAATACATCTATAGACATTATTTCAATTACATTAAGAAAAAGATAAAACAAAGCAAAAAAAATCAGAATAATGATTCCCAATCTTTTTTCTACCAGAACACACTCTCTCATTGGTGACAACTGAAACAATGACTCTTAACAAGAATAGAGGGATGTCTGAACACTTTAACAGCTTCTAGATATAATTAGCATACCTCTACCAAACACTATTTTAGAGTACAAAATTCTACATAAGGGGCTGGGGAGGTGGATCAGTGGTTAAAAGCACTAGCTGCTCTTCCAGAGGACTCAAGTTTGAGTCCCAACACTCAGATGGCAGCTCATAACTATTTGTAACTCCAACTCAGAGAATCTAAAGTCCTCTACTGGCCCATGTGGGCATCAGGCATACACAAGATACACAGGCATACATGTATGTACACTTGCAGGCAAAACACCCATGTACATAAAACATTTTTTTTAAAACAGTTTCTCTCTACTTAGTCCCGTCTACCCTAGAACTCTCTATGAAAACCAGGCTAACTTCAAACTTACAGAGATGCCTCTGCCTCTTGAGTGCTGAGATTAAAGGATTGTGTCACCATGTCTGATCAAAATAATTTTTTAACAACCTAGATGCCCTTCAATGGAAGAATGGATGAAGAAAGTGTGGAATATATACATATTAGAGTACTACTCAGCGGTAAAAAACAATGACTTCGTGAATTTTGCATGCAAATGGATGGAAATAGAAAACACTATCCTGAGTGAGGTATCCCAGACCCAAAAAGATGAACATGGGATGTACTCACTCATAATTGGTTTCTAGCCATAAATAAAGGACATTGAGCATATAATTTGTGATCCTAGAGAAGCTAAATAAGAAGGTGAACCCAAAGGAAAGCATATAGTCACCCGCCTGGATATGGGAAGTAGACAAGATTGATGGGCAAAAACTGGGAACTTGGGATGAGGTGGCATGGGGCCAAGGGGAAATGGGGTGAGAAACGTGAGAAGGGGAGATTGGGGGGAGCTTGGGGGAATGGGATGGTTGGGATAAAGGAAGGGTGGACATGGGAGCAGAGAAATATATATCCTAATTAAGGGAGCCATCTTAGGGTTGGCAAGAGACTTGACTCTAGAGGGACTTGCAGGTGTCCAGGGAGATGTCCCAAGCGAGTACTTTGAGCAACCGAGCAGAGGGAATCTAAAATGACCCTATCCTATAGCCATACTGATAAATATTTTACATAACACCTTAGAACCTTCATCTGGCGATGGATCGAGATAGAGACAGAGACCCAAATTAAAGCACCGGACTAAGCTCTTAAGACCCAAATGAAGAGCAGAAGGAGGGAGAACATGAGCAAGGAAGTCAGGTCCACGAGGAGTGCACCCACCCGCTGTGACAGTGGATCTGATCTATTAGGAGCTCATCAAGGCCAGCGGGACTGGGACTGAATAAGCATGGGATGAAACCAGACTCCCTAAACGTGGCGGACAATGAAGGCTGATGAGAAGCCAAGGACAATGGCACTAGGTTTCGATCCTAATACATGAACTGGTTGTGTGGGAGCCTAGCCCATTTGGATGCTCACCTTCCTGGTCCTGGATAGAAGTGGGAGGACCTTGGACTTCCCGCAGGGCAGGAAACCTGGACTGCTCATCATTCACGAAAGGGAGGGGGAATGGAGTGGGGAAGAGGGGGAGAGGGGTAGGGGAGTGAGAGGAGGGAGAGGGAAATGGGAAGCAGGGAGGAGGCGGTAATTTTTAAAAAATAAATAACTAAAATAAATATTAAAAAAAATTTTTTTTAAATTCCAAATAAGGATTGTTGAAAAAAATTATACTAAATGAAAGAAGGGTAAATAAAGTATCACAAAGAAAGTCTGCCACAAGGTAAAGCACTTGCACAGAATGCACAAAACCCTACATTTAATTCCTGGCAACAAGATAAAACACAGAATAAAACATACAGGCAAATCTAGACACACAGAAACTAGAAAATAGTAGACAAAGGAATGAGTGAGAGGAAGGACAAATAATAAATCAGTCATCGTGCGCCTTAGCTGTCAGCTGTAGAGACACACAGAAGTATGTGGGAAAGGATGCACAGGACATACAAGAGGTTTGATTATTTTAAGTTCAGCACAGTTGATTGTTGTTTTATTTTTAAAAGGGGTCTTGCCAAAAACGAATACCTGGGCTCAAGTGTTCCTTTAACTTCAGCTCCTCAATAGCAAGGACCACAGCACTAGACCACTGAACCCAGGAAAATGTCCTTTTTCACAACAGTGATAAAGCTACCCTCGGTTATTAAAAACAAAGAAGTTGTTTAGAGTCACCTACCTATCGGTGGTGCTTGGTATCGATCCACTGTTTTTCTTTGTCTCAAATTGTATGGCCTATCATTTTCTTCTCCTTCTGCCTCTTCAACTTCTATGTCTCCATCCTCCTCTTGAGATTCTAGTTCGACATATAAAAGGGGAAAACAGTTTAACCCACAGGTACGATCCTATTCTACAACTGAGTATTTACATTTATCCATTATTTTTTGTCTACGCAAGTGACATTTAAAATGTTAGCAATTCATGATAATAGCATAAACTAGTATAACCAAAAATAAACCTAGGTTTAAAAAAATCAATACAGAAAATAAAACATTGTTAGCCAGGTGTGGTGGCACACACATTTGATTCCTTTAAACAGCACTTGGAGGCAGAGGCAGACAGAGGTCTGTGAATTTGATGCCAACCTGGTCTACATAGTGAGTTCTAGGACAGTCAGAACTACACAGTGAGACCCAATCTCAAAAAATGAGTGAATGAATAAATGAATGAATGATTGAATGAATAACAAGCCAGTGATCATTCCCTGTGTCTTGATTTTCTTGGGAGGTTTTGTTTTTTTAAAGATTTTTTTTTTACACAATACACACTCATACAAGGAAAATAAATATTTCGTTTGGTTTTTTGTTTGTTTGAGATGGCATCAAACTATGTAGACTAGACCAGGCTTAAACTCACAGAGATCCTCCTGCCTCTGCCTTCTGAATGCTGGGATTGAAGATGTATGCCATCATGCATAGCTAAATAAAAAATAAGTTAAAATAAATAAATGAATAAGTGGCATACTCCTATAATTTCATCACTAATGAGTGATGGCAAGAGGGTCAGAAATTCAAATCCACCCTCTGTGACATGTAAGTTTAAGGCCAACCTATCTATGAGAACCAGTCTCAATAAATAAATAAATAAATAAATAAATGTTTTAGGATGTTTCAAACTACAGAAAACTTTAATAAATGTTCCAAAAAGAAATATATTTTTTAAGACAGGTTCTCATGTACCAAGACCTACCTCAAACTCTGCTAAGAATGACCTTTAATTCCTGATCCTCTTGACTCTCTCTTCTGAATGCTGGAATTATGTCGGAAGGAACATGCTACTTCATCTCAATTATGCTGTGCTAGGGATCCAACCCAGGCTTTGTGCTAAGTAAGTCTTCTACTGACTAACTGAACCACATCCCTAGCCTATCCCCAAATCTATGCATGATTAAAAACAAAGTCTGGCAAATGCTCAAATTACACTTAATTCAAAGAACTATTCTTACTTAAGGCAAATGCTGAAGAAATGAGCCATTTTTGGTTTTAGTATAATAGTTTGTTGAGCCTATGAATAATAACTAAGCATATCTGATCGCATTTTAGTAGGAAAACATAGGTAGGAGCCAAAAGGCATTGATCTAAATAATGCTACAAAATACCTATACCTATGCCTGAATAAGTAAAAAACTTTTGTACTATGAACAAAAATTATACAGATGACATATTTACTTTAGAGCCCCTACTCAGTCAGCTAACATATATAAAAACAAATATCACATTATAAATCTATCTCACCGAAACTAATTGCCTACAAAGAATGCAATATAGAGGTTCTAACTAAAACATTTATTCACTATATACCTTCATTAGAAATGTGAGCTCTTAAACCAGCTGGTGGTGGTGCACACCTCCCAGCACTTGAGAGGCAGAGACAGGCAGATCTCTGAGTTCAAGCCCAGCCTGGTCTTTTAGAGTGAGTTCCAGGACAGCCAGGGCCACACAAAGAAACTCTGTCTCAAAAAAGGAGAAAAAAATAAAATAAAATCATATATATGATTATATGTCCTTTTAAAGACTAGCTAAAGTAGCCAGGTATGGTTGTGCACACCTTTAAACCAAGCACTCAGAGGCAGAGTCAAGTGGATCTCTGTGAGTTTGAGGCCAGCATGGTCTATAGAGTGAGTTCCAGAACAGTCAGGGCTGTTACATAGAAAAACCGTGTCTTGGAGGGGGCTGAATCTGGCTAATATATTAAGTACAGAATTTGAAAAATAAGTGTAGTCTTCTTTGCCTAAGATTACCTTGGAAAGTCTGCTAATCTATATTTCCAATACACCAAACCTCCTGAAATCCATTTTATGAGATCAATGCTAATCGTATGGGTCACCACTTTATAAACTGACAAAGCCAATGTGCTTTCTGCATGTTCCTAGTTCTAACCCTACAAGTCCACTGTGTTCTTAAGTTCAGACCTAGACAGGTGGAAGGCAAAAACGCTAAAGATTCTTCCACTACTATTAGCACTTCTATTTTTCTCTATTTACATCTCAGTCTATAACAAAATTTGAAATCCAAATAAGAAAAGACTTGAGGGAATGGATAATAGAGTATTTTAGTTAGAGGGTACCTTCAGCAAAACAAAAGGGCTAATCTACTGGGCAGACTAGCCTATAGCCAAAGGCTTTGCACACTAGAAAACTTAAGAACTACCAAAAGCCACTTCATTTTGCCAACTGAAGAAAAATGAAAATATAGATGCCAGATGAGTTCAAATTACCTCAAATCATACAATATACACCTAAAGACAAAAATAACAATCTAGTCTTCCCTCCCCACAGTTTTCTAGTTTTTCCATTAAGGTGCTTTACAGACCTTCTTCCTCGCCCTCAGTAGAAACTTCATGATGATTCTGTATCCCATAACTATTTCTTCTCAGTGATTTTCTTCGCCTTTTTACTCTTGAATACATATCCATATTTTCCTTTGAAATAAAGAAATTTGTCAAATATTAACCTAGCATTCATTCTGTTATAAATAGCACTCAATAAATTAATCTGTTCAATACAATTTACTGAGCATCTACTTATGAGTCACAAATTCATGGGAAAAAAAAGCTACCTAAATTCAACAAGTATAAAGAGAATAGAAAGTATAAAGAAAGTATAAAGAAAAAGGAGAAACAATAGGGGTCAGGATATGACTTAGTTCATAGAGTTGTTAAATATATACACGGCCTCAGATTCAACCCCATGCATTGGGGCTTTTTCTTTTTCTCTATTTTTTTTTATAAAAGGGAGAAGAAAAAATAAACAGAGAAGAAGAAAATGGGGGAGAAGAAAAGGAAGTTGGGGTGAGGAATTTGAAGAGGGAGTAGCAGGAGCAGCAAAAGCCAGCAGAGAAAAAGCAGTAAAATCCCCAACAAGCCTGAGAGATCTGACACCCTCACATACACATACATGCAGGCAAAACACCAATGCACATAAAATAAATCTTTTTTAACTCTGGTGTTGGGCTGGGAAAGTAGCTCAGTTGGTAAAGTGCTTGCCCCACATGCACAATGCCCTGTGTTCCATCTTCAGCACTCCATAAACCAGGCGTGACAGCACAGGCCAGGCAGCAAGAGATCAGAAGTTCAAGGTCATCTTTGGCTACGTACCAGGAGAAAAGGAGAAAAGAGAAGGGGGGGGGGAGAGAAAGGGAGGATATGGGAGAGGAGAAGGGAGGAGGGGAGGCCTACAGCTGGGCTCCTAAGTCTTTGCAAGTATAAAGAAAACTACTTTGGGGGCTGTAGAGATGGCTTAGCAGTTAAGAGCAGTTACTCTTCTCCAGAGAGCACAAGTTGGCTTCTCAGCACTCACTTCAGGGGATTCATAATGGTGACTCCAGCACCAAAGGACCCACTCATGCAGACCTACACATATGTGTGAATAAAAACCAAAAAGACAACTACAAGAGGAAACAAAATACTTGCAAAGGTTATGTATACTAATGAACTTACAAATTCTGTGTCTGTCCACATTCGAAGCCTTTCTACTTCTCCGGATCGACGATTTCGCCGAATATTAATATTATCCATTTCTTGTAATACAGCTTCAGCAGTACTAAAATCATATAATAAAGAGAGTTTAGACAATTATGGGCACATATATCATATCAGACACTTTAAAGGGCTCAATAAACTGTATTAAAGGTAGAAGTGTTCTATTGAGGACAATTTTCAACCCCCATATCTGGTAGCTCACAAACATGTGTAACTCTAGCCCCAAGTGATCCAAAGCCCTCTTCTGATCTTGACTGGTATTGTATACATACATACAAACACAACACACATAAAAATAAAAAAGTTTTAGGACTAGAAAGATGGCTCAGCAGTTAAGAGCATTGGATAGTCTTCCAAAGGTCCTGAGTTCAATTCTCAGCAGCCACATTGTAGCTCATAACCATCTATAATAAAATCTGGTGCCCTTTTCTGATGTGCAGGCTGAACACTGTATACATAATAAATAAATAACAATAAATCTTTTAAAAAATACTTTCATTTTTTAAAAAAAGTGAAAAAATATCTTAAACTTTTATGTATTTATTAAACTCTTAAACTATTAAACTTTCATTTATAAGGCTCAAAATAAATACCTTTGTTTATTAAAACTTCAAAAGTCTTAATATTCTTAATGTATAAAATAATTATTTAATTAATAAAAATAATTAATTTAATTTAAAAGGCAGAGACAAATGGATGACTAAATTCAAGACCAGTCTTATCTAAATAATATGTTTCAGGCCAACCAGGTCTACACAGTGAGACCTGTTGCAAAAAAGGAAGAAAGGAAGGGGCTGGAGAGATTGCTCAGTGGTAAAGAGCACTGGCTGCTCTTTCAGAGAACCTGGGTTCAGTTCCCAGCACCACAACTATCTGTGACTACAGTTCCAGGGGATCTGATACTTTCATACTAGAACTCATAAAATGAAAAAGAAATTAAGAAAACACCACCATAATATTATAGTAAACAACAAATAGATTCATGGTACTGAGTGGGGAAAAAAGTGAATCTTTTAATATAATGTTGTTAACAAAAAAAAAAAAACAGAAACAAGGATATGATTTAATTTTGGTATGGGGTACTTATCCAGAAAATTCTGTTTCTTTTAATTTTCCAATTTCATGGTGTACAGATTCTTATAGCATAACCTAATAATTCTCTGGATTTCCTCCTTATCTGTTGTTATGTCCCCCCTTTTCATTTATAATTTTGTTAATTTTATAATTTTGTTAATTCTCTCCCTGCCTTTTGATTAGTTTGGATAAGGATTTGTCTATCTTGTTGATTTTCTCAAAGAACCAGCTCTTTGTTTCACTGATTATTTATATTGTTTTCTTTGTTTCTATTTTATTGATTTCAGTCCTCAATTTGATTATTTCCTGTTATCTACTCCTAGATGAGTCTGTTTCTTTTTGTTCTAGTGTTCCGGTGTGCTGTTAAGTAGCTAGTGTGAGATTTCTCCACTTTCTCTATGTAGCATTATTTGTAATAGTCAGAACCTGGAAACAACCTAGATGCCCCTCATCCAAAAAATGTATAAGAAAATGTGGTACATTTACACATTAGAGTATTACTCGGCAGTAAAAAAATAATAACATCCTGAAATTTGCATGCAAATGGATAGAACAAAAAAAATCCTGAGTGAGGTAACCTAGACCCAGAAAAATGAGGATGGTACATATTCACTCATAAGAGGATACTAGCTATAAAGCAAGGATAATGAGCCTATAGTCTACGACCCCAGAGAAGCTAAGCAACAAGGACCCTTGACCCCTAAGAAAAACACATATAGATCCACCTGGGAAAGGGAAATAGACAAGATCTCCTGAGAAAATTAGGAGCATGGGGGAGGGGGTTGGAGAACTTGAGGGAAAGGGATAGTCAAGATGGGGGAACAGATATTTCTTTAAATGGTTTTGGTTTTTCAAGACAGGCTTTTTCTGTAGCTTTTTAGAGCCTGTACTGGAACTCGCTTTGTAGACCAGACTGGACTCAAAATACAAAGATCTCCCTGCTTCTGCCTCCCGAGTGCTGGGATTAAAGGTGTGAGCCACCACCGTCCACTGAACACATATTTTTAAATTAAAGTAAAGCACTGATATCTAAAAAAAAAAACCAGAATAATATCTTAGAAGCTTTTAGGTTTTTTTTTCTTTATGAAGTTTTCTTAGGCAGGTTTTACAACATAGGCCAGAGTTGCCTAGACTTTGCTTTGTAGTCCAAACTAGCCTTGATCTTGAGATCTTCTTGTAATTTTGTTGGTGGTGATAGTGGGTTTTGTTTTTCAAGACAGAGTTTCTCTGTATAACAGTCTTTGCTGTCCTGGTACATACTTTGTAGACCAGGCTGACCTTCAACTCAGAGATCCATCCACCTGCCTCTGCCTCCAGGGTCCTAGGATTAAAGGCATGTGCTTTGAGATCTTGACTAAGCCTCCTGCAACACCACATCTGGCTGTTTTATGCTTCTAACAAACACTCCTAGAACATTTAACATGTGACTAGATCCTGCTCTATGGCACTAACTAATAATAACTTAGACGCAAATTGGCATTAACCCCTCTCTCTAGTTCATTGTAAGATACTGTAAAGCCAAGGAAGATTTTCTATTTCTTGACTATATTTCAATGTTCTAGTACTGAGAACTTAATCTCCAATGCAAGAAGGGACAGGGCATTAAAAGGTGATGAAAGAAGCTCAAGAGATGGCTCAGCAGTTAAGAACACTAATTTTCCAGGGGGACCCAGATTTGATTCCTACCACTCACATGGTGGCATACAATTAGCCTTAACTCTAATCCTAGGAGATCCAGCCGCTACTCTGGCCTCCAGAGGCACTGGACACACATACAGAGCATTTACATTCAGGCAAGACACTGGTACACATAAAATAATAAATGGTAATTAGTAGGTAGGTAGGTAAGTAGGTAGGTAGATAAGATAGATATAGATAGGTAAGATAGACAGACAGATACATAGCAAGTACTAAGATAGGCTACACAGAGAGCTCCTGTCTCAAAAAAAAAAAAAGTTCATTGTTCTTAGCAAGTAGGAAAATACAAAAATCAAAACAACTTTGTGATTTCACCTGACTCCAGTCAGAATGGTAAAGACCAACAAAACAACCAATAACAAATGCTGAAGGGGTATGAAAAAAAGAGAACCCTCACTCATTACTGGTGGGATTGAAAACTGGTATAGCAATTCAAGATATCACTGTGGAGAATTATCAAAAAATCTAAAAATAAACCTATCATATGACCCAACAATATACTCCTTGGCATATGCCCAAAGGCCCTGGCATCCTACTCCACACACACTTGCTCAGCCATGTTCATTGCTGCTCAATTCACAACAGCAAGGAAATGTAAACGACCTACATGCCCTTCAACAACTGAGGACGGGATAACAAGACTGCAGTCCACATACATAATGAAATAATATTCAATTATAAATTAAATTTCTAGTCTTCATCTAGAAAAATGACGTTCTGTGATAGTAGCAGACAAGAAACTAAAGCAGTGCACAATGTCTAATGAAAATCGTTCCACGGGTGTGGTTAGCGAGGCTTGGTGCCTCATTCACATAGATGCAGGCTCAACACCAATTTACCATTCTACCAAATGATAGAAAAGTTATCATTTACTAGATATCAATAATAGAACTTAATATTGCTTGAAAGCCCAGCATGGTAGCACACATCTTTAATCCCAGCACTCCTGAGGCAGGGGCAGGCATATCTCTGACTTCAAGGCCAGCCTGGTCTACAGAGTGAGTTCCAGGACAGCCAGGGCTACACAGGGAAACCTGTCTCAAAAAAAGAAGAAAGAAAGAAAAACAAAAATAATGATAATATTTAAATAAGTAAATATTAAAGAACTATAACAGTTGCAATCAAATATAACTACTTTTCATTAACCAAAGAATAACGGATAAAATTTTATCACAGCCAAGTGGAGATGGCATACCCCTTTAATAGCAGAGAGACCTGCTACACAGAGAAACCTTGTCTCAGAAAGATTCATAAAATTATATTAAATCCAACAGTCAGACAAAACTAGTTAATGGAAATGGTTTTAAAAGATATGGTGGCACATGGCTGTGAATTCAGCAAACAGAAAATTGAGGTAAATGTTTCACTACATGGAAAGACCTTGAGCCTCATTCCCACCCCCTCAAAAAAGCAGGATCTAGGGAGATGCTCAATACTGCTAAACAACATGTAGACTTGAGATCATGTAAAATGAGAACTGTACCCATATTAAAAAACGGGCAGGAAACGTGGACATGTGTGAGCAGGGAGGTGAACAAAGGGAGATTACCTGGAGCCAACAACCAGCCAATGTAGCCGTTCGGTTTGCTCCAGGTTCAGTTAGAGACCCTATCTCAAAAATTAATGTGTAGAGGAAAACACTCTATATCAACCTCTGACCTCCACTGGCACACACACCTCCCCACACACATTCAAATAAATGTGCACACATACACAACACATGTACACAAAAAATAGCTTAAAAATCAAACAATTAAGTGAAGTTGTTTAATACATAAACAGTCGTACCTATTTACTAGTTGATCAAATAATAAACTCTGATTCACACTTTCAAATCTGTTTTTCCTGGACCGACAACTTTTTCTGACTTCCATGTCACCATTTATACATGAAAGGTCACCATCTCCTTTCTTTTCCCCTCGAAGGGGATGGCTTCTAAGGGCTGCAAGAGAGACATTTTCATTTCAAAGTGCACAGTACAGAAGAACAGAAAATAGGAAAAAATAAAAAAAAATTAAAAGGCTACAAAAACTGAACATAACCTCTTAATTGGCTTTAATATTAAACAATCAAAATTCTCAATTTTAATTTTTTTTGCTATGAATGAAAGACAGTCATTTCCAAGCTAGATATATTATTAAGCCACTCTAAGTAGAAAACTTCTGGGCCATACAGAATGACCTCAGTTCAATCCCCATTACAAAAAAAAAAAAAACTAATCAAAACAAAAGTAAATAGTTATACTTTTGTCCACTTTCATGCTTAACCTAACACTACTGAAAGAATTTCATTATTAGCCAATTTCCCAGCAGGATACTCACACAAGCTACTATGTCCGTTTGGTAATGTAGCACCAGGCTGAGAAGTTAACCTACAATACAAACATATTTAATATGCAAATATATTTGTTTATATAAGCAAGAAATGAATAATGCTGTAATTATTCATCTTGAAAATGATAATTTATTATATTTCACAAAACAACATTTTTTGCTTTGGTAACATCAATTAATATATATACTAGCTAAGAGACATTTCATTATTTCAAGAAAAACTTTAATACCAAATTATAAACTGGATTAACTTTGTTGTCAACTGTACCAATTCAAATCCTATTAAAAGATTAAGGTTAAGCAGCATAAATTTAATCAAGACCATAAGGAGTCATGGCAACAGACAACTATAGTCTTCATTGAGAAAATAAATTCCTAGCTATGACAAGTATATTCAAACAAACTGTAAGAGATGAAAAACATACTTAGATATCAAAAACATTTAATTTTTTTCAAACTATGATGCATATTTAATCTATTTTTAAAGCACACCCACACACGCATACACAAAGATCTATTCCCTCTTCTCTCTGGAAAACGAACAAAAAGTCTGTCTTAATACAAAGTAAGATTTCTTGTTTGGCACCTTTGTACCCCATATACATGATACTCCAGGCATATGGATGTGCATATAAAGCCACGGATGTAGTACAAGTACTCTAACATGTTGTTGTTGCACAATGCTTTTCTAGAATGCTTCAAAATCATTCTCAAACTCAACTTAGAACCGCAAAAGAATCACTTTGATTACCTCATAAGTATACTTTGGCTTTGGCCCCAACATAACACTAACTCAGTTTATTTGCAAATTATCAGTTTATTCACAGGTCTTGATGCCAAATAAATTTTGGATGAATGTAACTACAAATGATTAAAATTTTACAACTTTATAAATTATTCACAACCAAGAGGCAATTCTAAAATCATCCCCCCCCCCTTAAAAAAAGGGTAAAAGCAGTGAGGTTCAGTTCTCCTCTAAAGGAGACAGGGCTTACTCTGATCTTACTTTGTTGTTAACGAAAAATCTGCTTTTAAGAAAAAGGGCTGGGGATGTATTCGATTCTTAGCATTGCATAACACTCACCCCCACCCAAAACCCAAGAACCACAACATCACCAGGAAGTGGAAGCAAAAGGAAAACAAAAATTTCAAGCAATGCAAGAGCCTGAAAGTAATAATCACTGGCATCACTTCTCTTTATAAAGAAGAGCTGGGCATAGTAGTACACTTTTGGGACCAGCTTCTGAGAGTTACAAGAAGCAGGAAGATCCAGAGTTCAAGGGCAGTCTCGAGACATAACAAGTTCTAGGATAGCCAAGGATATATGAGACTCTGTATCAACAATAAATAATAAGACAGGTGGTGGTGGTGCCTGCTTTATCAGAGCTTTGTGAGCTCAAGACTAGCCTGGTCTACAGAGTGAGTTCCAAGACAGCTAGGACTTTTACAAAGAGAAACTCTGTCATAAAGAGGTGAGGTAAATAAATAAATAATCAAGCCAGTGAGATGGCTTCATGCATAAAAATCCTTGCCATCAAGCCTAACAACCTAAGTTTGATCCCCAAGATCTACATGAGGGATGAAGAGAACAGATTCCTGCAGGTTGCCCTTTAAGCTCCACATGCCCACTATAGTGCACTTGTGCACATACATATATGCATAAATTAAACAAATGTTTAAAATAGGACTAAAAAGAAACTAAGAATCATAAATATACATGTACATTCAAGACCCATCAAAATCCCCATCCTTTTCATAATAATAGTTTCTGGTACCTGCTATACATGTCTCTATAAAATAAATACATTTTAGATATTTGGAAAAATAAAATTACTGAAAGTTTAAAATAAGTCTAATATTTGGGAGCTGGAGAGATGGCCAAGAGATTAAGAACACTAACTGCTCTTTTAGAGGTCCTGAGTTCAATTCCCAGCATCCACATCATAGCTCACAAACATCTGTAATAAGATCCGGAGCCCTCTTCTGGCTCAAAGGCTTAAAATGCAGACAGAACATTGTATGCATAATAAATGAATACTGAAAAAAAATTAAAAGTTTGATATCAATTATAAATGAGTATTTAAAAGAAACTTGTTTTAAAGAAAATTAACACCAATATCAGCTCTGAATCACAACAAATAGAAAGAAAGAAAGAAAGAAAGAAAAGGGGAGGGGAGGGGAGGGGAGGGGAGGGAGAAATGAATTCTCCCTTCTCACCTGGCCTGACCAGTTGGTATATTCCATTCCTCTCGCTGACCAGTACTTCGCGATTTTGATTTGTCTTTGCAAACAGAATCCGGCTGTTTCAAAGTGCGTTTGGCTGGAGGGGATACGTGGCTATCACTTAAGCTACCATCAACTTCAGTTTTCTGAAAGGCAGCAATAAAAATGTATTTATTATTCCTACCAAGGTTAATATTCTTGGAGAGTGTTTTTTTGTTTTAATTTATATGGAGAGAATTTTAACCAGACTGGTAACAATGGTAAAAATTAAAAAAAAAAAAGTTTATGACTGCTTGGAGTGTGCAATTATTTCTGTGACATCCCTCAGACATGCCTAAGTACTCCAGAACACAAATCCTAAAGCAAGGACACTTTAATACCATGGAACCTTCCCTTTTAGGAATCATAACACAGCCAATCCATTCAAATTATACCAAGTTACTCCACAACACCTCTTTTAGTTCAAGATCCTATCCAGGAGCACACTGCACATCAGATCTCCTCTTCTTTCACTTTGCGGCAAAGCCTGTCTTTAATTCTCTTTAACAATCTTGACTAAAAGAATACAGAGTTTGGGCTGGAGGGAAGGCTCAGAGGTTAAGAACATTGGCTGTTCTTCCAGAGGTCCTGAGTTCAATTCCCAATAACCACATGATGGCACACAACCATCTATTATGAGATCTGGAGAAATAATAAATAAATAAAATCTTTTTAAAAAAAGAATACAGAGTTTAACAGGGCATGGTGGTACACACCTTTAATCCAAAGGTGAGGCAGAGGCAGGCTCATCTCTCTGATGAGGCCAGCCTGGTCAACAGATAATTCCAGGACAGCCAGGACTACACAGAGAAACCTATAATCCTACCTCCAAGGCTGAAGCAAAAGGATTAACTCAAATATGAAAACAGCAGTTGAGTTCTAGAACTAAAGGACAGCAAGACCCTATCTCCAAAAACCACAAGAAATAAAGGGGAGGTGTGGAGATGGAGAGGACAAGGGAAGAGCAGATAACACCTTTCATTGGTAAGCCGGCCCTTCAGTCTGGGTCTAGGTTATTCTCCTCATAATCAATATGAGTCAGGCAACACATTTGAGAAGGAATTTTATGGACACACTACATTCTCCTTCCCCAATCACTTGACCATAATCACCAGGGCAAGCTGGTGTCTGAGATTTTCTGTATCTCTTTTACTACATAATCATCTGAAAACTTAACAACAATATCCTGAATCCGAAGCAAACATCCTCCAAAACCTCACTATACAGTGGATGATTATTATTATTATTATTATTATTATTATTATTATTTAGACAGAGTTTCTCTGTACAGCCTTGGCTATCCTGGAGCTCACTCTGTAGACCAGACTGGCCTCAAACAGATCTGCCTGCCTCTGCTCCTGAGTGCTGGGATTAAAGGTGTGTTCCATTACCATCTGGTCTAACAGTGCCTCCCTTTGTCAGTCTTTCTACATTTTTAGTTGGCAGTCTGCCTTAAGAGAAAATGTCTAGGGGCTGGAGAGATGGCTCAGAGGTTAAAAAGCACTGACTGTTCTTCCAGAGGTCCTGAGTTCAATTCCCAGCAACCATATGGTGGCTCACAACCATCTGTAATGAGATCTGGTGCCTTCTTCTGGCCTGCAGCATACATGCAAGGAAAACTCTGTATATATAATTAATAAATAAATCTTTAAAAAAAAAGAGAGAGAGAAAATGTCTACCTTTCCCACTAATTTACTCATTCCTATCAAGTATAGACTCATAGATTCTCTATACTGCAAATCATAACACTTTACTCTTATTTTGTTGCTTAAATTATGTAACATTTGGCTAATGGGAACCCTTAAAAAGTGATTCCTGTATCTTTTGACACACCCAATCATTATGAATACTTTTTATAGAATTATCAGGATTTATTTTTTACTTTCCCTTTCTGGATTTATAATCATTTCTGTACGGAACCCTGGTTCCTTTTGGTAAAAGATGGTATTTAGAAACCAAAAACTAGCCGGGAGGTGGTGGCGCACGCCTTTAATCCCAGCACTCGGGAGGCAGAGGCAGGTGGATCTCTGTGAGCTCGAGACCAGCCTGGTCTACAGAGCTAGTTCCAGGACAGGCTCCAAAGCCACAGAGAAACCCTGTCTCGAAAACAAACAAACAAACAAACAAACAAACAAGAAACCAAGAACTAGGGGGAGGAGGAGGGAAATGGGAGGTGGTGACGGGGAGGAGACAGAAATCTTTAATAAATAAATAATAATAATAATAATAAAATAAATAAGTATTTACTTAGGAAAATAAAAAAAAGAAACCAAGAACTAGGTAATAAGTGCACTTGCTGTTATTTCACTGCTAGTGAGCCCTCTCAGAAAAAAGAACCACAAACATCAAACACAAATATATACATATCTATTTCTAAAGCAGTATATAAATAATAAAAAGACATGGGCTTATCCCAACACTCCTAATTCCTATCCACATCTTAATTCTGTCTTTTACTCTTCTACATTTCTAAATCTGGCTTCCATTATTATCAATACATTTATTTAACCAGGCATGGTGCCTCATTACTTGTAATCCCAAAACCTAGGAAACTCAAACAGAAGGATTTCAAGAGTTCAGTCCAAGCCCCCACACACACATATGTAACATATATATGTTTTGTTTTGTTTTTCAAAAAAAGCAGGAAGAGCAATAGCAGCTATACACACACCTTCACTCCCAGCATTTGGAAGGTGGAGCCAGGAGGAGTTCAAAGTTAGCCTCCACTGCTAAGTGAGATCCAGTCTAAACAACAAAAATGGCCCTGGGTTTGATCTGCAGCACCACAAAACATGGAAAAGATATCATGTCATTCTAGATAAGTATTTCAAAAGCATATATAACAGCAATAATATGCCTAATATAAAAATATTTAAGAATATTTTTATGGAGGCACAGGAAACTGAGGTAGGAAGCTGCTTAAAGGGCAGCCTGTAACAAGGAAATTACAATCCCTTAGGAAAATATAATCATTTCCTTTTATGCTATACATTTAAAAAATGCACAAAAATTATCCAGTTCATAAATATACATCTTTATGTTTTTCCAAAGAAGGATAACTGTAATATACTAGAGAAAATGTAGTTACTAGGAGCTAAGAATGAAGCTCAGTGGTAGTGCTTAGTGAAGAAGAAGAAAAAGAGGAGGAGGAGGAGGAGGAGGAGGAGGAGGAGGAGGAGGAGGAGGAGAAGAAGAAGAAGAAGAAGAAGAAGAAGAAGAAGAAGAAATTTACTAAAAACACATGATTAAAGGTGTCCATATACATCCTAAAGACAACCATTTAATAGAAAAAAATTCCCTAGAACCAAGCCAGCTTCAAAATCACAAAGATCTGGCTGCCAAACCATCCAGGGCTGGATTCACTGTGTGTGCCACCTGCTTGGATGCCACGAACTTTTCCTTTTAAAAAGAAATGTAAGTTCTTTTTCAACATTTCTTCTCACCCTGTTCTTGCTCCAAACCATCCCATATACTCCTCCCTGCTTTTCTTAACATTCATGGCCTCTTTTTTCATTAGTCGTTATTGAATACATAATGTATATGTATGTATGTATATATATAAAATATAGTCCTAAATACTACTAATCTACTCAGTCCCTATAATGTTACTTGTATTGTTTTCAGGGCTGACATTTGACATTGGACAAGCAATTAGTATGCCCTTCCCTAGGGAAGACCGCCCCTCTGGCTTCCAGCTTTCCTCCATTGTGTACAGTTCCTTGTGAAGGCTTGAGGCTTCTTTGGTTTGTCCCAGCCCAGTTTTGTATATCCAGTGGTGTCATCCTTATTCAGTTCATGTTTGGGCAGTCATCTGGTGAGACTTTATGGTAATAACTTCTGACACTAGAAGACACGATGTCACAGCAACCTGTAGCCTCTATTCTACAATGTTCCCTGAGCCTTAGGTGCAGGAGTATTTTCTGGAAGAGTATTTTCTAGAAGTATCCATTGGGACTGGGTTCCATAACTGTACATTTCAATTGGTTGTGGTTTTCTGTAGTGGTCTCCATCTATTGCTTTATGAACTATTTTTTAAGAACACAAGTACTAATGCAGACGGCATAAAAAGAAAAGTAATTACAAACTCAAACAGAGGAGCCAGGCATAGTAACACATGCCTTAAATCCCAGCAACAGGAAAATCACAAATTCAAAGCTAGTCTAGACTGCAATGTGAGACATTGTCTCAAAAGAGAATGTTATTTTTAAATTGCACAGTTCCCTAGGCTCTTGCTTTCTCTAGCCCCATCCCTCAGCAGAGTAAATACTAAGGTTTAGAGATAACTTAACTAACTAGTCCAATATTATCTGGTTAATAAATTACCAAAAGAAAGAAAACATAAAAACACTTAGGAGCCAGTAATGATAGTGAATGCCTTTAACCCTATCACTGGGAAAGCAGAAGGCAGATCTCTGAGTTTAAGGCTAACCTGGTCTACATAGTGAGTTCCAGGCCAGCCAGCGCTAAGTGGCAAAATGTTGCCTCAAAAGCAAACTAAAAAGGAAAGAAATATCTTTAAAAAATAAAAAATAAAAAAGGAAGGAAGGAAGGAAGGAAGGAAGGAAGGAAGGAAGAAAGAAAGAAAGAAAGAAAGAAAGGAAGAAAAGGGGAGGGGGGGGGAGGGGAGGGGAGGGAGAAATGAATTCTCCC